AGCCATGACTATTCATTAACTCTAGAAATATGAATCCAAAATTCTAAGAAATATAAGACAACTGTAATATCATTATTAAAGAACTTTTAAAATACTCATCTGAGTTTTTGGTAGATAGTGTTCAAAACAAAGACACATGATATTTAATATACTAATAAGAAAGATTTAAATAAATGAATATTATATTAAAAAATGTATAACTGAATCACACAGAGAATAATCATTTTTTCAATTATCATTTATATAAACTATCATGTAGTAAACTTTTCAATGAAAAAATATACAAGTCATACACATTCTCAGAACTCATTACAATAAATTAGGAACGAATTACATAAAGGTAAATGATAAGCATTTAAAATTTAGAAAATTTAAAACATAATAGTGTAACAACAAATAACATCTTCTAAATATAATCAATGATATTTTAGAAAATCAAAGTAGAATAACATGCAATTAAATATATAATAATGCAATAGATCTGCAAATCCATATGGATAGAGTCATGGATCATAAGTTTTAAAGTCCTGATTAAAAAAATAACATCCAAAAAATAAATTTGGGAAATAAAACATACTTAAAGAAAATAAAAATAAATACAAAAATAAAAAGTAAAAGAATTAAATTGATAAACAAATTATTAGGTATACATATTTGAATAGAACAAAGCAGAACAGATAAACCCTAGGAAATGGAGAAAAAATATATCAAAATAAATTAAATTTAACAATAAATAAGAAAGAGAATCTGTAACCTTTAGCGGAAGATCCCAACTTCTAGAATCAATTGTGTCTGTCTTTCTCCAGGTTGGCAATAGGTCATGTTTAGCAAATTGGCATGCTTGAATTGCAGAGTTCTTTTTACAAGAGAAACTGAGGGGTTTCTAAAGGCTCTCATTGTTGTGGGGTCCATATCGACTCATATTGACCCACCTCCTTTGGGTTTCTGAGGCAGTATCTCTGCGGAAGTAGATTGCCCAGTCTTCCTTCCGAGGAAGCAAGGAGCGGCTAGTGGGTTTGAACCGCCAGCTTTCTGGTTAGCAGTCAAGTGCCTTGTTGTTGTTGTTACGTGCCCTTGAGTCAGCCCCGACTCATAGCCACCCCTCCTTGGGTTTCCGAGGCAGTATCACTACGGAAGTAGATTGCCCTATCTTCCTTCCCAGGAGTGGCTGGTGGGTTTGAACCGCCAGCCTTCTGGTTAGCAGTCAAGTGCCTTAGGCACTATGCTACCAGAGCTCCTGTCTTAGGCACTAACAAATCCTTGGTCAATAGAGAACTGGATCTGAGTGGAGCCTGGGTTTTGTCACCTTACCTTGTCTTAAAGTCCAGCCTCTGTCTGTTCAAAACGAAAATACATGAATCTCCTAGGGTTGTTTTTTAGTACCTAAGGCATTTGACTGCTAACCAAAAGTCTGGCAGTTCAAACCCACCAGCCACTCCTCAGAAGGAAGGTCCGGCAATCTACTTCCCTAGTGATACTGCCTCACCTCAGAAACCCAGGGAGGGGTCGCTATGAGTCAGATCTGACTTACTGGCAGTGTGTTGTCTGTTTTAACTAGCAAAGGAGTCCTTGAGTGTTGCAAATGTGTAAGCATTTAGCTGCTAATGAAAAGACTGGCAGTTTAAATTCATCCAGAGGCACCTTGGAAGAAAGGTCTGTTAACCTACTACCAAACAATTAGCCATTGGAAACCCTCTGAAGAATAGTCTTACTATGACACACATGACCAAAGTAGGTGAGACAAAGTCTGGCCACTCCTGCTTCTTAGGAGCATTCAGGCTATATCTCTTCCAAGACAGATTTGCTTGTTCTTCTGGCAGTCCTCGGTATTTTCATTATTATTCACCAACACCACAATTAGAATGCATCAGTTCTTCTTCAGTCTTCTTTAATATTGGGCCTCAAAAGATTAATACTCAATGGAAAGGAATAGCTATAGGCAGCAAATTTGACAGCCCCAAAAAGCCAATGCAGGCAATAAGATAACATCAGGTACCTTGTGGTGGCAGGACTAGCCCCTAACCCCCCAGAACTCCTTGAGGATACCAAAAATAAATGATAACTTTGCAGGGGGAGGAGAAGAGCTATTATCACAAGAAGGCAGGCATACCAAAAAAATGCAGTTTCCAAAAATGCAGGTGTTTTCTATTAATATAATGACATATAAGTATAAATAAATTTTCAAGTTTCAATAAAGATGATAATTTTGTAGAAAAATATAAAGTCTCTCAAAATAAGCCAAGGAAACAACAATAAGAAAATTGTAATAATCAATAAGAAAATTAATGTCGTATCAAAGTTATGTCAAAAAGGGTTCTATGCCAGAGCATTTTACTGCTAAGTACTATAAGATTTTCAAAAAGGAATAATTCTCTTGCAATTGAAACACTTTCAGGTAAAAAGAATATATATGACCTAGCATAATCATAAAATCCAACCAAATACGGACAACATAATTTTAAAAATTTGCTCAAACTCACTTATGATTGTGTATTTTTTTTAATCCTTAATAATTATTAGGGAAAATAGTGCAGTAAATAAATTATCTCCTTCAACCAATTAGCATTTCTCTTCAAAACAGAAAATTATTTCAGTATTGGCATCTATTATTGAAAGGAAACATAGTCCAAAGCCTCAACAAAAGCTTAAAAAGCATTTAGTGATACATTCCTTAATTTTAAAAATCCAGAAAGGAAAATATCTTTACATAACTTAAAAATGAATATTTACCTTGAACAAACGCAGCATAATTCTCAGCAGCAAAGCACAAGACACATTCCAATTTAAATTAAAAAATAAAAAAACAGGTAAGTAATATTTTCCTAAAATTATGGACAATTTCAGTTCAGTAAGCCTTGAATTGAAATACAAAATATAATCATTGGAGAAGAAAAGAGTGGGCATAAGTTGATTTGCTATTCTAGAAAATCAAAGAGAATAAATAGTGGGGGTGAGGTCAGGTATGTAATAGGGAAGTTCAGGGAAAAAAAATTAGATGCCAGATAATCCTATTAAATCAGCAACTTTCCTATTTAAGAGCACATGCAATTAAATTTTTCATGTGCTAAAAAGATTTTATTTAAAGTAACTTTAAAATAACTACAAAGCATCTTGAATGTGTTTGATCTATATAAAGAACTTAGTAATACTTCCCTAAGAGACCTAAAAGAGAAAATATTAATTAATTATCTAATTAATATACAATGTCTGGAATATAGAATGTAAGTTATAAATATTTCTGGGATGAATGGAGCTCCTAGATAAGATTATTGACAAAGTACATTCACAAACTATACATACAGTTCTTGCTTTGCATCTACACAGTCCTCTAAAATGAATTTTACTTGACTGTGCAAGATGTGACTATTTAACGCAATTCCAGTTAAAATCCTGATGGCATTATTTTCCCTAACCTTGACAATATGATTCTAAAGTTCATCTGTAAAAATAAACACACAAGCATTTGTATTAAGTCTGAGATGGCAGAACAATGAGGATAAAATTGTGTTGTTAGATATGACAAATAAAGAGAAACAATTAAAATATTTTTGTCTACCAAAGAAGACAGCAAATAGAATAGAATATTTACCCCCAGTGCACATGTTTTTAATACACAAGAGAAACTCCATGATACTTAGAGAAGTGATAGAATACAGTGAATTCCCATGATGCCACACACCAAAAAAAGGAATTACCAAATACATCAAAGTTTTATTTGGTTTAAGTGTTTAATGTGCAACACTTCTTATGTTGTTAAAAAAAAAAAAAAAAGCAATATATTTAAAAGATTTAACTAATTTTGGTGTAGGAAAAAAAAAAGAATTACTACAAGAGTAATAAAAGAAATAAAAATGGAAAACTTAAATCATTAAGAAGTAAAACTCATAACAAAATCATAGTCATTATTAAAAGGTTAGTGATTAACTAGACACAATTTATTACAAAAAAATAAAAACAAGGCAAAAGAAAAATAATGTAGGTGCAATCTGTAATGGGTGGTACAAACCGTTAAACACTCAACTGTTAACCAAAAGGCTAGAGTTTCAAACCCACACAGAAGCACCTCAGAACAAAGTCTTGATAATCTGCTTTGGAAAAACCGCAGCCATTGAAAACCCCGTGGAGCACAGTTCACTGCAATGCATGAGGTCACAACGAGTTGTGATCTACTTGATGACAACTGTACTTTCCCTTTCTTTTAATCTGTAATCAGCACTGACAAAAAGAAAATTACTAACATCCCCATTGAAAGTAGAGAAATATCTTACCTGAATAATTCAGAGAAGCAGTGAAAATAAGTTTTAAATAGGTGGAAAACTTCATCTTCATTAGCAATCAAAGAATTACAAATTAAGATAATGAAGTATTTAAAACTGGCAAAAATATTTTTTAGAAAAGATGATACCCATTGCTGGTGATGATAAATTAAAACATATACTTTTTTTATACCACAGGTAACAATGTAAATTGATACTTTCTAGACAGTAGTTTGATTATCCAAAAAAAAAAAAACCTCACTGCCATCAAGTTAATTCTAACTTGGTAGTAATGCTTCTGGAAAACAAACCTAAGAAAATTATCATATATGTGCACAAAGAGTTAGGTATGAAATTTTCATTAATTAAACTCAGACCTCACTGACATTGAGTCGATTCCAGCTCATAATAACCCTCACTGAGTTTCGAAGGCTGTAAATCTTTATGGAACGAGACTGCCCATTTTTCTTCTGCAGAATGGCTGGTGAGTTCGAACCACTGATCTTTTGTTTAGCAGCCAAGTGCCTTAACCACTACACCACCAGAGCTCCTTAGGTACAACATTTTCATTACTATTCATTAATAGCATAAAATTAGAATAAATTAATTAAATACTAAATCATAGAGAATAAATTAAATCAATTTTGGTACTTCCATGCAATGAAATATTATGCAATCTCAATGAAATTTTCAATGAAAAAAATATCATATACATTCTCAGAATTCATTACAATAAATTAGGAACTAATCACATGAATTTAAACGGACATCATCATACTTTCGTAGAACTTTAATAACACTGGAAAGTGCTTTAAACAAGACACAGAGAATTCATGTAAATTTTGTTGAGATTATGGATATACTTTTTATTTTCTGTTTATACTATTTGCTTGCTCTCCAACTTTTTTCTAGAATGAGCATGTTTTACATTTATAATCAGAAATTCAATAAACATCACCCCAAAATAAATATTTCCTTCAAGATTCTAAGGTCTTCATTTTGTGGCACTTGAGCATATTTGTCCAACGTAAGAAAGAAATCCTCTTTCTATAAATTCAAGTTCTGTGTTGGGGCTGCCACTGGGAGGTTGTGCTGAATTTCCCCCATTAAGCAGTTTCCTAAGGAGAAACCACCTGATCAAGCACTCATTGCACCGTATCTTCTGATTTTTAATTTCAAAACATTTCACTTGGCAGAGGCAAACCAGGGAGTCCTGTCAGTGACTGCTGGTATTTGGCAATGTTCATGGAAACACAGGAAGGAACCAATACCAAAGCAAGCCAGCACACTTTAATCAGTTTCTAGCAGTGGAAGAGCCAAGATTTACAAGGGTCTCACATTCCTAGGTACAAGCAAAGTGACATATTCTGATGTAGCTGTGAGCTTTTATGGAGATGTTATCACTCAGAGAACAGAGACATAAACGCAGAGGGGTTGAGAAGAAAGTACATAATGATTTCACAAACTAAGCTTAATTTCAATATTGTTTAGTGCTCCTGGGGCTTCCCTATGAATGATTGTAAACTCCATTGTTTTGAAAATTCTGGATTGTGAGGAAAATTGTACTTTTGCTGACTCTTTGGTGCAGTGAGTCTAACACCAGGACACCCTAAATTGCCCTTAGTTTCATGGATAAGATCTGCAAAAAATGACAAAATACGAAAGAAAACATTTTTGCATCTGGCACAAAGTAATAAAAAAGAAAGGAAGAAACAAAAGAAGAAAGAAAGAAAGAAGAAAGGAAAGAACAAATAGAAGAATAAAGAAAGAGAAAGAAAAACACATGCTAAGAATATTTTAAAGAGTTATACCTATAATTCAAAAGTAGTTCTAGAATATTTCTAACTTGTATGACCAGTGTGTGCTATACAGGATAGGGTGACACATGCAGCTTTTGAACTTGACAGTGTTACAAAGATGTTCCCATATCCCCTCCCCCCATTTCTGAACAATTTCTTGTTGCATTATATATTATATCTACAGCTGTGCTATATTCAGTGGCTATAAAACCATTCATATGTGTAATCTTGGGGCAAAAAGCACCACAAAGAGAAGCAATGGGACTGGGAAAATGATCCATCTTCATTTATGCATTTAAAATTTTTCTCACTGTGAGAGCCTGGTGAGGTGGATATCTTCTTGTGAAAACCACAGAGAGCCAGCTGCCTCTTCCCAGTCCAACAAACATCAGTACAGACAATAACATTAAGGATTCATAATCCCACAAAGTTCACCCATTATCCTAACTAAATTTTCTCCTTTTACATCCCCAAAACTTATTAATACACGGGATAAAAAGCCATGTGAGCTCTAGCTTCCACAGTGTATGTGATGAATATCATATTCCAGCTGTTCAATTTGGATGCTTTTGTCCCAGATTCATCAAGTTCTACAGGAAATAAACAGAATGCGAATATCTGACTCTCACTGTTTGTCTAAATACGCTTTGCTCATTTCTCTTTTCTTTCAGTGACAAAAAAATATTACCTAAATCATAAATATTCTCAATTTTCTCAACTCTATGAAATTCTATCTCAGTTGAGTTTGTGCTTGTCACCAGATTGTGATAAATCCTGAAATATTTTAAGTTCTTGCTTTGGTGAAGATACATTGATTAGCTACACCATGATTTTATTGGTTCTTTTTCTTTACAAGGGGGTGCTCTGGTGGCACAGTAATTAAAACATTGGGCTGCTAACCAAAAGGTCAGTGGTTCGAACCTACTAGCTGCTCTGCAGGAGAAAGATGAGGCATTCTATTCTACTTCTGTAATGATTCACAGCCTTGGAAACCCTATGACTCAATGACAGTGGATTTGGTTTTGGTATGGTTTTTTGTAAGACCTCTAAACGTCAACTTAAAAAAAACCCAAAACAAAACATTATCCTCTAAACATTATTATCTGTGGCCTTCTCCCTGTCAGCTCTCACCTTCTACCTACATTCCCTTCCCAGATTTTAAATGACATGTATTTGATGACGACTTTGAAATTTATATGGATCTTCTAGACTTCTCCCCTGAGTGATAAACATTGTATCTGACTGCCTATTTGAAATCTGTGTGTTCACATTTATTGTTGTTTTTTGCGGCTGTCGGGTCAACTCCAGCTCATGACAATCTTATGTACAACAGAACAAAAAACATTGCCAAGTTCTGAGTCATCCTCACAATCACCAGCATATGCAAGTTCATCATAGCCAACTATTGTGTCAATCTATCTCTTTTGGTGACACCCTTGCCATCGTTGGCCCGCTACTTCACCAAACATGATGTCCTCCTCCAGCAATTTCTCTCTCCTGATGTGTTCAAAGCAAGCAGGTTGAACAATGTTCTGTTTTGACCCATAGGTTTTCATTGGCTGAATTTCAGAAGTAAATCACTTCTAGCCTCTTTTAGTGTGGAAGCTCCCTGAAACCTGTCCACCATGGGTGACCCGGCTGATATTTAAAACACTGGTGACATAGTTTCTAGCATCACAGATACACATATGCCATCATAATTCAACAAACTGACAGGCGACAACATCTACTTGCTTACTGCCTATTCTGGTTACCTAGTGCCACTCTGACAAGAATATACCACAACTGGGGTGGCCTAACAAAAAAGAGTTTATTCTTACAATTTGGAGGCTTTAAGTCCAAGTTCAAAGTGTGAGGCTCTAGGGGTTGGGTTGCAGCTCTGCCTCCTGCTTCTGACCCACAGAAAAGAAGGCTTTTCTTCACTCAGGCAGCTATTGGCTGCTGAGGCTAACAAACCTAAGGTTGACAGGTAAAGAGACACAGTCCCGATGTTACCAACCCACACAGCAGGCCATTACTTCAAGTCCATTGTAAGTCCTAAGGTCAGCAGAGCATGGCAGGCTGCTGAACAATGACATGGCTACATTCAGGGTCCAAACGTGCCATAAGCTAAAGACCATTCCCCAAGGCTTCTGCTTGTACACAGGAAGCAGACCACATACCCAATAGCAGCTACTCAGCTGCTTGTGATAGATCTCACCATGCAGTTGATTGCCAGTCTCATCAGGAGGAAAAACTACCACCAGCTGCCCAGTCACTCAACCAGGCCCAGCCAAGTGTACACACCAACTGAACTATCACAATTCTACCCCTTGTCAACTTGGCATCTGTACAGATCTCCTTTACTGGGTGGCTCTAGTCACCTAGTTCTCGAATGGTGACCTCACCCCCTTGACCTGGTGGGTCCCATTCCTCTCCCTCTTGGGCAGGCCAGCCCTGCCCCCTCACTCTTGGGCAGCAGCTATGGCTCCATCCCACTGGCTCACATGAACGAGCAGCCCCACACTCCAGAACTAAGTTGGTGAAGGCCTGGCTCTCTGAAATCTAGGGGCTGTGGTCTTTCCACCCCTAAAGGCCATGGTTCTACCCTTTCAGGCTGAGGCAGCTCTGCTTCCATTTCTTTGGTGTCTCCACTTCTGCTGATTAATGCTGAAGGCAACCCACTCCGCTGGAAAACTTCCTGCCCAAAGCACTTGGCTTTCTTGCTCCATGGGCCGGCCAACCTGCTACTCCATTTCATGAGGGTCTCTTTTATCAATTAATGCCCAAGGTCAACCCACTCCACCAGGAAGCTGCCTACCCAATAGCACCTGGCTTTCTCCTCTGTGGGCTGGTAAGCCTGTTGCTGTTTAATGCCGATCTCTGGGCTCTGGTACTGCCATCTTTCATGTTGGTCTCTCTGCCAGTATTTCTCTGTCAGTTTCTTGGCTCTGCTCCTGCCGTCTCTCATGCCATATGCCAGGGTCTCTCTGCCAGGATCTCGGGTCAAGGACGCACTCCACTCCTGTTTCCACAATTTAGGTATCTGTCAGAGAAGCACCCCACTCCTGATACCATATTCTGTTCTGGTTACCTAGTGCCATTCTGACAAGAATATACCACAAATGGGATGGCCTTAACAAAGAGGAGTTTATTCTTGCAATTTGGAAGCTTTAAGTCCAAGTTCAAAGTGCCAGGCTCTAGGGGCTGGGTGAAAGCCCCTCAACCTTGGGTTACAGTTCTGCTTCCTGCTCCTGGCTCACTGAAGCTGGAGGCTTTTCTTCACTCAGGCAGCTATTGGCTGCTAAGGCTAACAAACACAAGGTTGACAAATAAAAAAACACAGTCCCGATGTTACCAACCCACACAGCAGGTCATTACTTCAAGTCCATTGTAAGTCCCAAGGTCAGCAGAGCATGGCAGGCTGCTGAACAACAACACGGCTACATGCAGGTTCCAAGCATGTCATAAGCTAGAGACCATTCCCCAAGGCTTCTTCTGCTTGTATACAGAAAGCAGACCACATACCCAAAGGCAGCTACTCAGCTGCTTGTGGTAGATCCCACCATAGAATTGATTTCCAGTCCCATCATTGGGAGTAATTACCACCAGCTGCCCAACCACTCAACCAGGCCCAGACAAGTTGACACACCAACTGAACTACACACTGTCATCCAGTCGATTCTGACTCACAGTGACCTCACTGGGTTTTCAAGCCTGTTCATGGAAGCAGACTTCCTCATCTTTCTTCTGTGGAGAAGCTGGTGGGTTCAAACCACCAATCTTTCGGTTAAAAATCAAGTGCCTTAACCACTACACCACCAGAGCCCCTTGTTACATCAATTAGGCATCTAGAGTTTAAAATGACTAGAATGGAATTTGGATTTCCATTTCATGCCGCTCCTTTAAAAAAGGAAGTTCTTCTGACTTTTGCTATGGGATACTTTGAAAACATTTGGATTTGTATTTAGGGTTTTCCACCAGCTGGTTTTGGGACTGTGGGACCTCAGCTAGCTATAAAAAAGAAAGTA